TCTCAGAAAGGCTTCAATTTGGAGGAGAAAAAAAAAAGAAAATATGTAGTGTTTACTACAACTTCCCCACTATTTTTAGTTAATCAGATGGCTCTATTTCATATGCTTGTTTTACTTAAGTGTACATTGTGTGGTAAGAAAACATACTATTGAAGTTTTATGAATTCCAGAATGTTTTTAAAGACATTTTCCATGTTTCCACAACAACCCACCCAGGGATGCAGCCATTATTCTTGGCCTTATGGTACAGGTCACCGAGTCACAGTTTCCATGGGACTTGAAGGACGGGCACCACAGTGGGCTGAGCCAGGCCTTCCACTCTTGGCTCAAAGCCTTTCCAAGATGCTGCTCTTCTTTCAGCCCATCTCTTCAGCTTACTTTTGGTATTCTACATGGATTTTCTTTTTTGTTATGGGGATTGAATCCAGGGGTGCTCTACCACTGCTACATCTCCAGCCTTTCTAATTTTGAGACAAGGTCTTGAAAGGCAGGCCACAAACTTGGGATCCTCCAGCCTCAGTCTTCCAAGTCACTGGGATTATGGGTGGGGCGTGCATTCACTCACAGTTTCTGCAGGTGGGCCCTGTATTGTTTAATAATAATAGAGAGGGGCTGGAGTTGTGGCTCAGCAGTAGAACACTTACCTAGCACATGCGAGGTGCTGGGTTGGATCCTCAGCAGCACATAATAATAATAATAATAATAATAGTCTTGAGTTCAACAACAACTAACTATATATATTTATATATACCCTCTTAGATAGTGCCAATATGCCACCAAGGTTGAGAACCAATGGGAACATGTTAGACATGCATGTTTGGGGGCCTCATTTGGATCCAGGGTGTCAGACCCTCCAGGTGGGGCCCAGCAATATGTGTTTTAACAACCCCACCAGGTGAATCTGGGAACCACTGCAGAACTTCCCAGCTTTTAATGCACATCATGTGGGAATTTGTTAAAATGCAGATTCAAACCCTTTGGGTCTGGAGTGGGGCTGAGATCTGCATTTCTAACAAGTCTCAGGTGCAGCTGCTGCTGGGGAGAGCACCCTGTTGAACAGCCAATTCTGAGAGTTCCCAGCCTGCCACTTGGCATATAGTAGGTACTTAATAAGTGCTGTTGAATTGGATAAATATTCAGCAAATGTGAGGATTAGGGCAATGTGAGATGAAGAAGGAATGACCCATCAACAGGGGAAAAATGACCTGTGCGAACGACTCTATAAATAGTCTCTAGAGACACTGGATGTGCTTTCAACAGATTCTCTTGTTACTGCAAAAAAACCCCAGCAGGTAAGTTACAGGGGCTGGAGGGAATTGGCACTTTAACTGACTTGAACTGCAGTTCACTGTCTCCTGGGGAAGAGCAAAACCTGAGATGGCCCGGAGCAATCTTCACATCCACCAGTCACACTTTTCTTTCTTAAGTGCTACTGTGAACTGCATCATGACTATTTGATGACAGTGTTCTTAAATCAGATTCCTCCTCACTTAGAAGTGGAATTGTATGTGCATGTTCCCTTCAGAAACGCAGAAGTGTTAAGGGTGCAAAATACCCAAGTCACATATTTTTGCAGAACCATCAGGCAGCTTGTAATTAGGGTGTCTAATGGGCAAGTAGGAATTGGCCACGAGGGGGCAGTGTTGCTCCACAAAGACGCGGAGGCTGGGACCCTGGAGGAGGGGTTTCTTGCTAAGTGCGCTTGTGCGTAGACGGTGTCTCACTTTTTCCTGCCAAGTTGTTAACACACCGTGGAAATCTGCGTGTGTGTGGCCTTTTAAAATGTTTGGGGACTGTTTTTAAACACATCTTTAAAGGACTTCTTTTTTTTCCCCCTCCCACAATTTTTATAAGACCCTGACTAGTTATTGCCACAGATAAGAAGGTGATCCTTTCCTGGAAGAGGCTGCTTTCTATCAGCTGTGCTGGAACATTCCGCCCTGGAGATGGGCATGTTCCCCAGATCCAGGAGATTTGTTCTCGGAGGGGAAATTGCTTGTGGGAGGCCTGTGGAATTAGGAATTCAGGGCTGCTGCTTTGGTTTCTTCTGGGTGGGGTGTCATGTTAGAGGGACTGCTCAGGGCTCTTTGAGGTCCGTGGCCACCGGAGGCCTGGGTGGGTCTGAAGGAGCCTGTCACTTGTCGCGCTGATGGGCCGGGGGCCGTGTGGGTTTCCGGGCTCTCTTTAGGGCGTCTCACCTGGGGCTGTGGCGTGCGGAGGTCCCTCGCCTGAGCTCTGGTCTGCCTGGTGCCCTGCAGGGAAGTTGCCTTCGTGAGGGAGCAGCTGGAGCTGTCCTGCTTCCCCTCCCCAGAAATGGGGTCCAGATGTGACCCCACCCCGCCAGCCGCCTTGGAAGGCCTGGCCTCCGCCCCCTGCCTGGGCCCTTCCCTCTCTAGCACCTGTGGACTTCCTTCAGGCCCTTCTCCTGTTCTGCGGGGCCCAGTCGGCAGAGGGCTGGCCTAGGGCACGTCATGGCCGTGGCAAGGAAGATGACAGCCCAGGGCTGTCTCTGGTGGTTCCCTTTAGTCTGTGGCACCCGGTTCTTGGGGCTGAAGCTACAAGCCTGCCTGTGTTCCTGTGGATGGCTGCGAGCTGGATTCCAGGAGAGACTGGATGTAGTGTCCACAAAAGGGTGGTTGGAGTCAGGGTGCCAGGAGGAGAAGGGGAAGAGGTCACTGGGCTTCCTGCTGTTTCTTGGGATTTCCTTTTAACACACGCTGCAGGAGTTCCCACGAGGGGGCCAGGCTCAATGCCATGCCCCAAGGCCCTCAGAGGCGTCCTGGACTGCCCTCCAGATGGACTGCCCCATAACCAGCCCCAGACAACCTGGTGCACCGCGTGGGGGTTGGAGTGGGGGGTTCAGAGGTGGTGACCATGTGGCTTGGAGAGGAGAGAGCCAGGTCTCTTGGGCTCACCTGGGAGCCACGTGCCTCTCATGGGCTCTGTTCCTGATTCAGCATGAGGCCCCGAGTCCTCCTGTGTCCCCTGCCGGTGTGGGTGCTTGTGGCCCAGGTGCCCTGCGTTCTGGACCTCTAGCTGGCCGGGAACCGCACCGCTGATTCCAGGGCCACTGAGAGCTGCCACAGGAAGGCAGAGAGCAGGGCATGTCACCAGAGGCGCACGCTCTGCCAGCGTCAGCCATTTGAGGACAGAGGTGGGAACGACAGGGATATGAAGCTTAAACTAAGACTTACTTATTAATTTGAGTAGTGCTGGGCGCACAGCAGGACCAAGTGGAAGGCATGGAGACTCTGTACCCACGGCTCCTACACAGTACAGCCTCCTACTGTCACTGTCCCCACCAGGGTGTCTGCTTGTCACCATCGACCCACACTGATGCATTGTTGTCCCCAGGAGTGCACAGTCTGCATTAGGGTTCGCTCTGGGTGTGGGACAGTCTGCCCGTAGGACAGATGTGAGAGGACGTGTATCCTCCACTGAGTGTCGTGCAGAGGGGCTTTGCTGCCTACAGATGCTTTGTGCTACATTATTTACCCCCCATACCCCCAACCCCTGGTCAAACTGTTCACCTTTTCTGGAACGTCTGGTAGTTGGAATCCTGCAGAGTGTGATATTCTCCCAATGGCGGGTCTCACTAAGCAATGTGCACTTCAGTTTCCTCCAGGTATTCTCGTGCTTGGTAGCTCATTTCTTTTTTTTAGCGTTGAATACTCAGTAGTCCTATTTCTCAGAAAGGCCAGAGCGGGACAGGCCTGGGCCCAGGAGGGCCATCAGGTTCTAGGTTCGGTGGCTCCTGCGGCCCACCGCCTCCCCACGGAGCATTGGGCAGCCTGACACCCAGGTTAGATCCAGCAGGGGGAGGGCAAGATGTTGCATCCAAAGCTGCAGAAAAGCTAAAGGTTTCCTAAAAGGTCCCCACAGGGAAAGTTCCAGTGGCCAGGATGGAGTCATGTGGTCATGGCAGAGTGGGAGGAATGACCACTCCTTCTGGACCCTTTGTGGCTCCCTCCCTCTGTGGAGGGATCCACCCCTGACTGCCTTGGGACACAGGCAGGTCTTTTAGCAGAGAAGTGTGAGAAGTGTGTGTGTGAGTGTGCCAATGTGGCGTTGTACAGGAGTTGGGTAGATGACAGAAGGTGGCCATCGCCCACGAAGCTCAATACAAAGATCATTTTCGCTGTTGAGAGAGGATCTGGCTGGTCAGGAAAGGTGGGACCTGCCGCCCAGGGCATCTGGGCAGAGGTGGGTGTGGCCACAGATCACCCAGGGCTCAGTCTGGGCAGGAGACCAGCTGAGGTTACTTGCCACCTGGGTATGTGGAGCGGGAAGGTGCCACGTGAGCCCTCAGAAGTGATGGCGGAGGACGCATGTGCCTGGGCATTGAAGTGGGTGGAATTTTTTTTTAGTCCTTGTTTTATTATCTAAGAGCATCCAAGATGGCTAATGGTCCCTCAGTACCCCTCGTCTTCACCGCAGTGGCAGTCCCAGGTTTGGGCTGCATGGCCCGCCTTTCCCAGCTTCCCTTGCAGCTGGTGTGGGGGAGAGGGGTGCAGGGGTGTAGCCACAGTGGGGGGGCAGGGCCTGAACCCAGACTGGATGTGACTCTTGTGGTTTGGTTAGAGCTTTGGTCATATGAGCCTGTATTGTCACTAATCTGCTTCGAGTGTCCCTGAAGGCCCTTTAATCACAGCGCTTGAAACCAAATCAGTGCTCACCTGCCCTGGTGCCCAGGAGGCTGGGCATGGCCTCCTTTCCTAAAGGCATTTCTGGGTGTTATGATTGGATCCGATTTGCTTCTGGAATCTGGATCTCCCTGTTGCCTGCCAGTCTATGTGACAGGGAGGAGAGCATTTGGAAACATTAATTAATTCTGTGTGGTAGGATGGCATTTGGCGATATTAATTAAATATCAATTCTACGTGTGGTTGGAGAGTATTTGGAAATCTGATGCTTTTTGTCCTCTGAGGCTGCCCTTAGGTAGGTTTTTGTGGCTCCTGAACTTCCTCATTCTGAGAATGAAAGCTGCCTGCTGTCCTGGAGAGAGGCCTGCTGTGCTCTGGCCAGCACAGTCTAGCTGAGTCTGCACTGGAGCATCTCCGGCCTGTTTCTGGAGGTTGTAGCGGCTTCCTGGGACCTGCAGGGAGAGCTGATCCAGCTGCTTCTCCCCAGTTTGAGCAAACTGCTTACAGGTCATTTTCCTGGTTACTTGGTGCTGGCCACAGTCTAAGGGAAGAGAAGGCGTGGCTGAAAGAGAACAGTGGCGTCAGTGCTGGCTTTGGTTTTCAGTTGGGGGTGTAGCTGCCACGGGCCCTGGCAGGTGTCAGGGCAATGTTGGGTTGAGGTCACGCCACAGAGGCCATCCTGGATACATCCTCAGTCCTCCCAGCATCGGGCCCTCGAGAGCTCAGCTGTGCCGGGTGGGGTTGGACCAAACTGTGGTTTCTGCTGTCGAAGGAAGGTAGAAATGAAGGTGAGCTGTGGAGGAACGAGCAGAGATCCGTCTCTCACATGTGGCCTCTGTTGACGGATTTGTCTCTACTACTCAGAACTGTGAACGTCACCCCCAGGCCTGGCAGCACACAGGGGCCACTGTTGTGCACATTCACGACACCCACGACGGGTGGCTTCAGGAAAACCTGCAGGTGCAAAGATACAGGAGTTCCATTCCTCTTCCTTCCTGTAGCCTCTGGTCCTACCACCGGGGCCCCAGGTGACTGTGTTGGCAGGTCCTGATGCTGGTTGTCCGAGGGTTGTGGGACTCTTCCAGTATTACCACAAATGCAGGATCTGTAGAGTGAAACACGGTGACCTTTACCGTATGCATATGATTTCCAAAGTGCCTTTTGCTAGCAGCTGTCCAGGTGCAGACAGTGCTGTCCCCAGAGTAGGGGATGCACTGAATCTTGACTGGGGAAGCATCCTAGGCTTCCCTGGGATTTCCCGATGACTTAGCGTTTGCTTGCAAGGGGGTGACTTTAAGTGAATGGATTGGTTGGCACAATCACGTTTTCCTATTGGAAGTAAGCATATGGTCAGCATCAGAGAGACCCCGAGGTTAAACACCTGAGACCACAAAATGTTCCCTGTGTGAAAAAGGCCACGAGGGCTGGAATAAGGTGTATCATCCACTACCGGTGAATCATGCTGATTTTGCACCCAAACCCAGCTTTCCATGAAATTTTATTGCTTCTCTTAGAGCCGTGCTAAGAATTGCATATTAAAGGGCGAAAATAAATTGCTGAAATCTCACTTCTTTCCCTTAAAAAGTCACTGATTCGCAAAATTGTGAACAAATAGCTTTCTAGCAAGTCAGCAGCAAAGTAGTTTATATAAACAAATTGCCCTGGAAGTGAGGCAATGTTCTAAAAGATGGGGTGGTTTGCCATCGTAATGCGCGTTATCTCAGGAGACAAAGGGATGGAGTTCTCTGCAAACCTGGCGGGGAGGTCCATCGCACAGTGCTGTGAGTCACAACAGAACTCAGAGGCGGGAAAGGGAAATTAATAACGCACTTGACTTCACACAAATGTCCAGAATGCCATAAGTCAATTTAAAGTATGAACCTCAAAATGACCATCAGATTTCACCTTCTTCAGCCGACCAATTTTCCACTGAGAAGGAAGGTGCTGTGGGGGAGGCAGGCAGGGGCTGTCCCCTGAAATCTGCTTGCTTTCTTTAACTGCAGTGGACTTCTGGGGGGAACGTGGTAGGACCCGGTGGCCCTCGCAGGCCTGGTGTCCTGGCAGAGTCTCCCCTGAGTGTGGTGAGGCAGGTGGCTTGCTTCCACCCAGTGGTGTTGGCGTGGGCAGCAGCGTGTCCTGGGTGTGGACTGCGATCCTGCACAGACAGACCTGCATCAACCGGAGGGATGATGACTGAACAAGTCTGTTGGAACACTTCCAGCAGCACGTGCTTGCTTGGTGTGTTGGTGTCACAGTTTGGTGATTCTCACAGTATTTAAAGCTTTTTCATTACATTATATTTGACAGTGATCTGTGGTCAAACATCCTTTTTTTTTTTTGGTCCTAGGGATTGAACCCAGGAATGCTTTGCCACGGAGCCACATCCCCACATTCCCAGCCCTTTATTGTTATTATTTTGAGACGTGGTCTCGCTAAGTTGCTTAGGGCCTGGCTAAGTTGCTGAGGCTGGCCTTGAACTTGCAATCCTCCTGCCCCAGCCTCCTGTGCTACTAGGTTAACAGGCATGTGCCAGTGTACCTGGCTGTGGTCAATCAACTTTGATGGTACTGTTGTGATTGCTTTGGGGTGCTGTGGACTGTGCTCATATAAGACCACCAGTGAGCGCAATGCCCAGCGTTGCCTGTGTCCCGACTGCTCCACTGACCGTCCATTCCCCATCTCTCTTCTCTCCTAGGCAAGTTACCCGAGACACAGTGCACGAGGCCAGTAAATGACCCCAGAGTGGCTCTAAGCATTCACGTGTAAGGATCACATACATTTCCTTGAAATCAAAAGCTAGAGATGCCAAGGCCTAGTGAAGAAGGTGAGTGGACAGTCAGACAGCGAGCTGAATGCCAGGCCTCTGTGCACACGGCTCACCACTCTGGGAATGTGGAGGGAAGTTCTTGAAGGAAGGTGAGAGGACTCTGCAGTGGGCATGCAGAGAAAGCCAACAGGTGGCCCTCTTCTCGCTCTGAAGACTCAGGTGAGGAGGTTGAGATCGGGTGGCCCCTGGAGGCTGCTCAGGCGTCTGAGGAAAGGCGGGTTGCGCAGCGTCTCGGCACAGGCGAGGCAGCGAGAGGTGGTGTGGAAGCCGCAGTGCACCGTCCAGGAGACCAGCTGTCGCACTGAACAAGGATTCTCAGTGTGGACACGTAGGCCGCGTTGGAAGAGGCTGCTGAGGACTTCTGTGGCTCAATGGGGTCCATGCCTGCCTTCCAAGCTTCCAAGGACAGGCTGACCCTTATCAAAGGATGATGTAGTGGGTGGCTCTAAGTCTAGGCCAGTGCTCACTGACCACCTGGAAATCCAGGGCCCGAGGGACAGCATTGGAGCCACCGTGTCTGGTTCTGGGAATGGAGCTTGGGCCTGGATGGCAGCCTGATTCCAACAGAGAATCCTGGTCCCCAAGAGCTCTGGTGGAGAGGGACACGGGGCCCATGTTGTGTCCAGGCCTGCTGGCCCAGCACCCCTCTGCACCCGGGGACTGGGAGTCATGCTGACTTCACGACTTCTTGTTTAAGAAGCGTGTTCTGTAGGGCTGTGAGTGCCCTTGGTGATTCCTCCTCTGATCCGGGCAGTTGAAAACCTGGAAGGGTTCCTGTTCCGGATGCCAGTAAGAACATTCATGGTCAGGGGAGGGGGGCAAGATCCCTACACTAACGGGAAGAAGTTGATCCCGACTCTCACGGGGACTTTGGGGGGCTCAGGACGGCGGTGGAGAAGGAACTGCGCAGGCGGTACACGCGGCAAGAGGCCCAGACTGAGAAGTGGAGCCTGAGGACTGTCTGGGCCCCTGGCCAGCACCTTGGTTACACAGAACCTTGCAAAGGCAAGGGTAAGGCATACCAAGCTCTCGATCCACAGAAAGTGCGAGGTAAGGAATGTTGAGCTTTGAGCCACTGAGTTAGGCAGGACCTATGGCTAGGTATACAGCTGGAATACACTGAGTTAGATGTGGCCGTGGAGTCAGCTCTGATCTGTAGAGTATGAGCAGAGCCAGGCAGGGGTCCTAAGAGGGACCCAGCCAGCTGCTCTCCCCCTCGTCACAGCTGGACATGGTGTAACCAGCATGGGTACTGTGGAGGAGGGTGACGTCCTAGGTCATGGCAGGAAACCAGATGGAAGGAACTGGGCACCTGCCTTAGTCCAATCCATTGCTATATCTGAATGCTCCAGACGGGGTAGTTTATAAGAGGAGAGAGTTATTCAGCCCTGCTTCTGGAGGCTGGGAGCCCAAGAGCATGGTGCTGTTGTTGTGCTGCAGCATAGTGTGATGGAGGGCACCGTGTGGCAAGACAGCAGGTGTGCCCGGGGAGAGCTTGCTTCCTAACATAGCCACACCTGTAGTGACTCTGTTGTCCATTACCCACAGTGGATTAACCCACTCAGGAAGGCAGAGCCCTCAAGCCCACTTACCTCCCAAAGGTCCCACCTCTTATTATTGGGGACCATGTATAAGTAGCCTGGCCATCTGTGTGTCCCCAGAACATTCACATTGGACTGTTAACAGGTGAGAGAAGCAACTATATAAATCATTGACTGGAATGGGTGTTGGGGCTTTTTGTTACAGCAGCTAGCCTTACTAATTCCCTGAAGAAATAAAACACACAATTCAAAAAGAAAATAAAAACCAACCTACTAGAAAAAAGGGCAAATGACAAATAAGCGCGCTTCACAAGAAAATAAATATAATTGGCTTCTAAAAGATGAACAGTTGCTCCATCTGATTCTTAGGCAAGTAGTGTCTGTCTTCTCTGAGACGCACTTTTCACCTATCTTGAATGATCATTTAAAATGCTGATGAATCCCAAGTTTGACATTGGTGTAAGGGAAGTTTCCTCTTAGATGCCCCTCTGTTGGTAGGAATGCAATCTGTGTAACTTTCTGGAACACACAAATACACATAAAACAACAACAACAACAACAACAACAACAAAACAGGTAGAATACTGAAATACATACCTGCTATATATAGATATATCGGAATGTCTACACTCTGCTTGCTCACGTGCAAGTATAACATGGGATCACATGTTTCTGAGCATATGCATGACCATTTTTTTTTCCTGGAAGCAAATTACAAGGTACTGTTTAGCCAGACGGTAGAAGGACTGGGGCTGAGGTGAGGGCTCTTCACTGTCCATTTAATCCCTTTCTTAACTATCTGAATTTCACGACAGTGAATTTTTATTTAACAAAAAGCAGATGGATTACCTGGTGGTGATTGGCATGGCTCTACCTTCTGAGTAGAGGATCTCACTGCTGGGATGGCACCCTAAGGCTGTTCCCACGTGTGTGCACACCTGTATGTGGGCCTGCGCACCTGCACACACACGCGTCTGTAAGGACGTGCACCCTGGCGTTTCTCAGAGAGGCCGACAGGGCAGAGGGCTGTTTGGTGTCCTGCAGCAGAGATGGATTGAGTATGTGAAAGGCCCTCCATGTGGTGGGACCCTGTGGGGCCATGGGAAGAAGGAGGCCAAGGTTTATCAGAGAAACAGGACAAACCAACACGTGGTGCTGGGAAAATCGGTCTCACGGGCAGAAGAATGAAGCCAGACTCTTACTGAACCCCAGACACAAAAATGAACTCAGACAACTCCAAGGCCCAAGAGCGGGGCCTCTACAACTCGCAGAAGCAAACGCAGGGCAGTGGCTTCAAGACGCTGCCTTTGACAACGAGCTCTTGGAGCTGACACCAAGGCACGGGCCATGAGAGGAGAAGCAAGTTGGGCCTCGTGACAATGAACAACTTGTGCTCCAAAGACACGATGAGCAGAGCGAAAAGCAGCCCCCAGAACTGGAGAAAATAAGGCAACTTGCAAAGGGAGTGATCTCCAGGGGTAGAGGGGACCCTCCAACTCAGCAAGGCAGCATTTGGAACAGGCAAAGGACTGAAGGAGACCTGTCCATGGAGATGGTGCCTGATGGCCCATGAGCAGTGGGAAGATGCTCACCGTCACTCTTCATAGGGAAATGCCAGCCAGACCACAGGGGGACCCCACCTCACCTGTCAGGACCGCTCTGGCAAAAGTAAAAGCAGCAAGCGTTAGTGAGCCTGTGGGGAAACCGGAGCTCTGGAGCACTGTCGTGGGAAGGTAAATGATACAGCCATTGTGGAAGACAGAATGGCCAGGCCCTCTCCAGCCAGTCCACTGCTGGTACATCTGGCTGTACATTGTTGCAGCATTATTCACCTTGGCCAAAGGGTGGAAGCAACCCGAGTGTGCGTTGAAGCAGGCACGGATGAGCTAAATGCGGGATATATATGCAACGAATATCATTCAGCCTTAAAAAGGCAAGAAAGCCAGGCAGAGGCTGCATCACGGATGACTTCTGAGGACGTCGCGCTAAGTGAAATAAGCCAGGCTCAGAAAGACCCAGTTGTCAGATTCCACTAACACGAGGCACCTAACCCAGTCAGATTTGTAGAGGTAGAAAGCAGAAGGTTGGTTGCCAGGGGCTGGGAGGGAGGGGCGCGGGGATCATTGTTTAATAGGAATAGAGTTTCAGGTTTGGAAGACAGGAGTTCTGGAGGTGGCTGGTGGCGATGATTGCACAATGATAGGAATGTACTTGGTGTGACTGAGCTGCACACTTACATGGCCAGCATCGTACATTTTATGTTAGGTGTATTCTATCACATTCAAAATATTGAAGGAAACCCCAGCTTACAATAACAACGTGTGTGTAGCACAACTGCCATTTGTACAAATGTGTATGTTTGTTATGTGAACAGCCGGCAGCAGGGAGATTGGGAAGTTGGAGGAGAGGGAAGAGACTTTTTCACTGTGTACCTTTGGAACTGGTTGGAATTCTAGTTTATGAGATGCAGATTTTACTTTTTAAATGTCAAGCCAACTCTCAATCGTCTTTCTTCCTGCCTGAATTCCCTAAATCCTCTGGGGCAGCTATTGAGGATTATTGTCAACGGATTCCTTACGTTGGTTTCTATGAGATGATTTGAGATGTTGGTTTTGGCTTCTCCTATAAAATTTTGTCATTTAAAGGATAATGCTTAATTCTTTAAAAGCAGAATCTCCAGAATAAATTTTAAGATTTGGTTGGATTGCAGTTAGATGACTTAATTTAGTATACAAAGCAGTAAAAAGGTCTTCAGTGCTCCTAAAACAATAGATAGTGCAACAATCTAGAACGTACTTGGCAAAAATGAGTGTAGAGGATTCCTCATTAGTTGGGACTGTGTCTTCTACTTATTTTGTGTTTCCCATGGCATCCAGTGAATTCTAGGCATTTATGCTTAATGACGGTGTTGGGCAGAGTGTGGTTCGGTGAGCAATTTTCACATCCAGGGTGATTTATTGTGCTCCCATGATTGGTTCATTTTGATTGTGTTGACTTTTTGGTCATGAATCTCAGAGTTAAAAATAATTCAATTACCCAATTAGATCACAGGAATGTTAAACAAGACATTGCCTTCAGGAGAGAAAAGAATAAGCAGAAATGTATTTTTGTCTCCTCAAGCGGTTCTGCATAAAAACATCGGCTTTGGATGCTCTCACGAGTCCAAGAAGAGTGGTCAGTGGCTGCTCGTGGAGCGGCTGGTGTTGGCCAGGCAGGGCAGTCCCTGGCTGGTGAAGGGACTGTCACGGGATGTCTGATCTCTTCTTTGCTGTACTTTTTTTTTTAAAACCATGTAGCTTTGTTATTTTGAATACATACAGTACAAGTGTCCTTAGAGCCGAGGTCTCCTTTGAAAGAATCTTCTATTCTAAATCTTTAGCTAAAATGCTTGGTTATCTAGAAGTAGGACTGCTCTGTGCCACCAGTCCATCACGGCGCTCTCAGGCAGAGTTTCTCAACATGGCCCCCATTGGCATTTTGGACCAGGCTCTCTAGCTTTCTCATGGGGGCTGTCCTGGGCTCTCTAGGACTCTGAGAAGCTCCAGGCTTCTACCTACTAGATGCCAGTAGCACCTCCTTCCTCAGTTACGCCAGCAAGACGGTGCCAAATGCCCCCTGGAGGTGAACCTGTCCCTGGCTGGGTAGGAGAGAGGGCAGGGTGGAGGTGACCGTCCACACCTGCAGTGCCACTGGGCTCTCGGACCTCCCTCCACCCCGTGACCTTCCCCTGCAAGGCCAAGGGCCCAGAGGAGGGGGCTCAGTGATGCTGGCATTCTGGGGAGCACGTGTGATTCAAAGTTGCATTTTCTGATGACTAATGAAGTTTAGCATCTTTTCAAGTGCTTTACTTTCATAACTAGAGGGAAATGAAAGTCTCTATGTGTGTGTGGTGTTAAGGGAGGAGTCATAGGCATTTAACAAAGGCGGAGCAGCAACATTGCAGAGCGCTGATGTTTGGGGACCTGGCCAGCACCCCAACCGGCTGCCCAGTCTCCCAGGTCATCATAGGAAACGTGGGCACCTTCCTGGTACATCATTGGCCTCGGGACCCTCCCGATTGCCTCAGCAGTAGTATCCTGGAGCAGCCTCTAGGTGGCGCTGGATGTCGAGGTTGTGAGGACACAGGCCCTTCCAGTCCCTACTGCGGCTGTGGCGGGAGGCTGCACTGAGTCCTGCCTGCACCTGGGTCAGAAGTGCTGCCGGAGGTGCCTCAAGGATCGAGGGTGGCAACAGAACTTCTCTGATGACTGTGTGTGGGTGTGTCTTGGGCTGGGTGGGGACGAAGGGCATGGAGTGCCCCCTGCAGGAGCCGGTCCTTGCTGGACATGAGGAAGTTGTACAGGAACTCTTAGAAGACCACAGCTGCCAGCAGGACTCTGACAGAACTTACTGTTCTCAAGTACAAAATCCAAAAGCACAAAGAAGCATACGGTGTAGAAGCAAGGGTCCCTTCAGTCTGTCCCAGCATCTTCCCGTTCTTCCCTGCAGTGGGAATGTTAAAGGCAGAGA